TGCATCGCATCACGGCTACAACAATTTGTACTATTATTTCGACATTGCATCATCAGGTCTTCTGCTGGCCACGAAATTTTGACGTTGGGACTACGGTAAGGTTGCGACGGGCTCTTGAAGTTGCGCCGTGGTGTCGTTGTCATCGGCAGAGGATCTTCGGTTGTTCATCGTACAGCAACCACACCACCATCGGTTTCTGTCCTTAGTTTTCCGAATATGGGCCCCAGGTCGGGCCAGTTTACGGCCGGCGGCGAGGGGACATGTAGCGATCGGGTGAACGTGAACGTGAAGCTTCTTGGGGCATCCACTGTATTGCTGCAAGGTAGTCAGTGATGTCCTGTGGTCTTTCCCCCGCTGTGGATGCAACGCATCGATGGCGAAACCATGTAGTCTCATTTGGTGGTACTGACAGTGGCGACAGGTATGGCCAGCTTCTTCACAATGGTAGCAGAGTAGTTGGTGGTTGGGGGCACGCCACACATTGGTTTTTCTCGGAATGTGCGCTGGCCGGCAGATGGATGGTATGGTGGTGACGGTAGCTGTTGGTGGAATCGCTGTGGGGGAGCATCTTGTCGCGGGCGTGGAGGGGCGTTGCGGCACACAGCAGTGGCCTAACTCATAGCTTCTAGCTGAGGCAGCGCTACTTCGAGAGCTCGAAACGATTGCCGAACTTCCTCACAAACAATGTTGGCGATTGAATCTATTTGAGGCTGCGCCGATGGTGACAGCGTGCGCAGCGCCTCCAGCACAATCACCCGGATGATCTAGCGCAGGTCGTTAAAGCAGATTTGTTGAACGTCTCCGAACTCTGGCATTGAGGGGCAATCAAACTGACGAGTGCTCATCTCCAGCGTCTTCTCAATCCTTGTCGCTTCTGAGAGGAATTCGTGAACAGTCTCCGGTGGGTTTCTCATCAATCCCGCGAAGAACTTCTGTTTGACCCCTTGCATAAGGAAACTAACTTTCTTTTTCTCGGTCGTGTCCAGGTCTGTGTGACAGAACAGGCGGATCATTTCTTCTGTGAAAATGGTGACATTTTCATTTTGTAGCTGCACCCGGGTCTCCAGCAAAGCAGTGGCCCTCTTTGCGAGCGACGCTCGTGAACGTTTGCAGCAATGCGCCACAGAAGAGATCCCAGGTTTGAAGCGCAGACTTCCGATTTTCGAGCCAGGTCCTTGCGGCATGTTCCAGGTAGAAGTACATACACGTACATAGACTTACGTGCATAGACTATTGCACGGGCTTAAGAATGTAGGTTCTGGGTACGACATCGATGTTTTTTTTTTCTGGAAAACGTAAGATAGGTCGCATCTGCCCGATGATTGGCAATGCCTTGCAGAACAAGCAGGGTAAAGGAAAGTGCACCATTAATCATAGGAACACGTAAATTGAGTGTGTTAAAAGAGTTGTGTATGCCACTTCATTATCATGTGGTGGGGAGTACAGGGGAAAACAAAGCGATGTGTCAATGTTCGGCTGAGAGAGCATGAGCTATCATTTCAAGCGGTTACACAACTTTATCTGCCGGTTCACTGCAGGTCATGTAGGTGTCATCCTATCTTTAACAAAACCACTGTCATTTTTGAACGTGCAAATCAACTGACAAGGGAAATTGCTGAGGCTTATAATATATCGATTAGAGGCAAGAGATTAAGGCATATGTGAAGCATCCGTATTTTTGCATGAGAATGAATTTGATTACTTGTGTTGATTTTGATTATCTGTATGTATGATGATGCTGCCGAATGTTTCTTGTGTCTTGTGAATGTCTTTGTTTTTGTACACCGACTATATATATATATATATCTATCACAATTCAATTTTTAATAAAAAGTTAGTTGAAAATTCAGCGCCGTATTTTCTTTCTATTTTGCTCCTTCTTTGTGTCTGTGTTTCTGGTGTTGTCCTGTAAAGAAGTTCATGATCAATTCAAACCAACTGGCCTAACTTACCGTCTTACTACAAACTGCGAAACTTCAAATGATTAATGAAGCACACATTACGTGCATTTGACATGCGCTTGTTTTCTGAAAGTTTAGCAACTTGTAGCATGAGAAAAATAGACTGTAGTCAGTATATGAGTTTAGGAACATCTTACTGTAGCCTCTGACTTCAAAAATGCTAATCTGTGAAACCAGAATTTTGAGCTTTGTATGTTCTTATCCCCAAAAGAACATGTATTTTCTAAAGTATACTTGGTGCTGAGGGTTAAACCGTGCCGCCAACAAAGTGCGGATGAAAAAAAGAGTTTGTCTGTCAAGCACCAGCATCGAGGTGCAACTTGAAAAGTTCAGACAAGATGCTTTATGAAGTGTTTCATATGTATTTCAGGCATCATTTTCAACTGATACTGCAATATTGAACCAGAACTCAGTAAACACCTATGTATTGTTCCTTCTGAAGTGAACCCTTGTGTAAGAAGTTTTGTTATATTTGTGTGCACGAGAAAATTTCTATCCGAATATCTGAAGCATAGCACTCATTTGAAGACCGATGTGAAAGTGCCACATTTGTTGCACTTGTAATCGGCGAGTATCCATGCTGTGATTCGGCATGTGTAAAGAATGTTCAGTTCTTCCTAAAAAAATAGTCCAGGAGTGATTCTTCAGGTTACCTATACTTATCTCACCTGTTGTCGCCATGTTTAAGTTAATATAATTCTATACATAATGAGATGTGAGATAAAAATATTTCCTTTGACGCAGAATTTTTCTGACACTATATTTTAATCTAAATAAAAATAAAAACAATTTATTCATTGATGTAATGGCACATTTCAATGTTGTTAGATAGGAACACGATTATTTTACATTACGAGAACTTGTTATGCGATCTAGTCTCAAAATCTAGAAGCAACTAGGAATGGTCAGTAGGGTAATAAATTGGGCTAGTTAACTATTGGTGGTTAATGGTTTCTTGTTGCACTGCATATGTCAAGATGAAGACGACACAGGCACCACCTGTTCTGTAGTCTTTGTCTTGTCCTTGTCATCCGCAGTGCAACAAGAAATCATGAACAAGGAATGAGCTTCTTGCATTGCTGTTTTGGAGAAACAAGTACAACACAGCACAGCTCTCATCACAGTGGATTCCGAGCTGCTTTCGTTAGTCAAAGTATGCCAGAAGTCAACCTCTGGTTGCAGCGTCTCCTGCCTCTCGATAGGCTTCTTCTTGAGGATATTCCGAATGCCGTAGTGTATTCCTGACAGCATATTTCCTCAATGGCACCAGTATTTGGGAACTCATGCAGGAATCTGTAAAAGCAGCTCTCAGTACGACATGACCAGTGTGCTTCTTGAACATCAGTTTCACCGATATCCTTGACTATACGTGCGCTGTGTTTGGGTTGTTTTTACGTGTCCTACAAAGCTGGTTGATGTGGCAAGAAGTGATACTTAGGCACAGAAGGGGGGGGGGGGGGCACTTTTGTTAAGGCAAATTCTGTTGACATCATTAAAATGAGTAGGCACATGACATTGTGGTCTTCAAAAAAATCTTTTTTATTGACTTGTATATTGTGTGCTCTGCTACATGTGTCACTTGAAGTTGTAAAGTTTTATTTAATACCAAGAGGACATTTGCGATACCATTTTCACAAGTTCAATTTTGTGGAAGTTTCAGCTTCAGCAAAACTGTGAAAATGTTGTTGCAAGAAACCAAGTTAGGAGAGACGCTTAGTGATACGCAAAATAAATTCAACCGGCAGTTAGGATAAAGAAAGCACTAAGGGTGTTAATGCTTGTCCTTAACTGTACTGTGATAATTATTACATAAATTGAAATGAATTTTGGGGCAATTACAGCAATAGAAATGCCCAACTAAGTGGGTAGAGAATTGTCTTCTGTGATAGCTCATTTGGTAGGGCATCATGCACATAATTTGAAGGTCGTGTCACTTGAAGTTGTAAAGTTTTATTTAATACCATGAGGACATTTGCGACACCATTTTCACAAGTTCAATTTTGTGGAAGTTTCAGCTTCAGCAATACTGTGAAAATGTTGTTGCAAGAGACCAAGTTAGGAGAGACGCTTAGTGATGGACAAAATGAATTCAACCGGCAGTTAGGATAAAGAAAGCACTAAGAGTGTTAATGCTTGTCCTTAACTGTACTGTGATAATTATTACATAAATTGAAATGAATTTTGGGGCAATTACAGCAATAGAAATGCCCAACTAAGTGGGTAGAGAATTGTCTTCTGTGATAGCTCATTTGGTAGGGCATCATGCACATAATTTGAAGGATGTGGGTTTGGATTCTAGTCATAAAAATGTGGCTTTTCAACCACTCTAGTTAGTTTTAATTTTAAGTCCAGGGTTCAACGGAAATATGTTTGGTTGGGGAAATTAATGGTGGAAGTCAGTAAGCACCGATGAATTGTTAAAATAAAAGCAGAAAAATATTTCAACCCTGCTATGAAGGTCTATTGCAAATTGTTTCAAATATTTTGCAACAAATTTTTGACACTACACTTGAAGATACCAATTAATGCCCCTGTATTTTTCTTGACTTAATTTCCTGTTAGATTCATGTGGTTCTGTCTTAAGCCTTTAGTGACCGAAAAAAAAGTACGAAATTTACTTTAAAATTTTTGTTTGCTAAATTTTTAGAGCTTTCTTTTCTTCTGAACAAAACGGTACCATCCTTTCAATTGAATAGCAATCCTCTATTTCAGTGATCATGTAGAAAAACATGACTGAAAGATAGCTTCATGGCATGGGAATACATTGAGAAATACCAATAAATGAAAGCCAAGACGCACATGTCCCAGCACGGACAAGTGTGGCCATCTAGTGTCAAAAACACGAGTAGGACAAATACTATAGTTCTGATTTGTTTTGTGCAGGAACAATTTTTGTTGATGACGAGTGTAATCATAATTGATCATGTTAGAAAATTTTGGGACGACTATACTCATTAACCGTTGCAAAAAGGCTAGAAAAAAGCGAGCCCCTTGGTAAAGAACTTGTAGTTTTCATTGTGCTCACATTGTTTTGACCAGGCACAACTACGAGGAATCTGCTGACTTACAAAACAAACGCCGAAGGTGGATTCGAGCTTGTTGCACCTTTCCTGAGGGCATCTATGAAGGAAAGAAGATACTCGGCTGTGCAAGACGAGGCAAGCAGTGTGTTGGTGACTGAATACATCTTTGGGCATGCACCAGGCGAGCAACTTGTGCTCACGTATGAGGTGAGAATACAATTTTATTGCTAGAGTTTTTAAAGTTTGCTGTTTGTTCCTGTAAATTTAAAATCTTTTTCAAATGCAACTGGGCAAGTGCTCTTAGAGATGAAATTCAACTTGAAAAACATCTTGAGCGGTGTTGGTGGTATAAAAGTTTGCAAGTTACTTACATTGTGGTGAAGCGGAAGCATCCATTTCTACCTCTGTCGGCCTTGAAGTGGCCCGGCCATTGCTAAGTGCAACAACACTTGGAGCAACAGCCAACTGAAAAAGTTCATTCATGCTGGGGAATCGTTGTTGGGCGCAAGAGCTGAGCACTGCAAGTCAACTTTTTGTCTTGTGTCTGTTTTTACTGCATGGCTAGGGACACACATGGTGTTCTTTTCTAGAAAAGTGGACTGTTGAGCTAGTTATTCATTTACGATGTATATAAGTAATGTGTAAAAGCGTGGGACAGGACAGAGAAAGCTGCGGAACAAGCACAACTGAACTTCTATTGGAAAAAGCAAATATAATAGGAAGCAAGAAAAAGTGTATATAAAAAAAAACTAAAAGCAATGAATGTGTTTGTTAGGTACCTTATCTCTGCTTTGTTTAACATCGAAGAATGGTTTGCCATACAGGTATTTCTCAGAACTATGAAAGCTTCAACGAGTTTACATACAATGTTATCTGCCATGCACTTGTCATGCAGCTTTCTTTGTATTGTGCAAGGTTCCTTTTTTCAAGCTATTATTATCTCTGAAGAGGCTAGGCTTCCTCGCTTCTGCTGTTATCAGTGTTGACTGTGATAGCCTTACAACAGCCATTATTCACACTGATGAAATCAGATACATTCACATTAAATGAGTCCACCCTATGCATGGCTGGTGGAGGAGCCTAGCTAATGTTCCATCCGTAAGCAGTCGTACTGTGCACGATTAACCTCCCTTCCCCGCAGTGCGAGTCATCATAGCTACGAGTGAAGAATAAAGCAACAGGCTAGGTCAACAAAAACAACACTTTATTGCTATGTTAGCAATAACGCGTAAATGTCGCGGATAAGGATTGTCCGCTCTATGAAAATGACAAAGGGTAGGCTTACTCCCTTGGTCCTCGATTGCCTTGACCGACAGGAAAATCTAAAGGTTGTCGTCCCTGTCCTCTGGCGGGTGCAAAAGAGAGTGTCTCTCTGTCGGCACTCTCGTTTTCTCCAACCTCTCGGTTTCCCTCTCCCCAATGATGGTTGTTCCCCTTGCTTTCCACAAGGGGAGCAACCCCTTGCGGAAACCCGTTTTCGCGAGAAGGGAGCGAAAGTAACCCGTTTTCGCGAGAAGGGAGCGAAAGAAGCTTCATTGTCTCCGTCTCGAAGCGACCAACATATTCTCGCAACTAGGCTGCCACAAAAGGGAAAGGAAGGATGCTTCCCCACAACATCTGCTTGCGTGCATGTGGCAATGAACTTATTACTTAATTTATTTTATTTATTTGGTAATACTGTCAACCCTCAGAGAGGGTCATAGAGGGTCAATTTAATTAGTACATAAAGGAACGTTTGCTGAATTATATAATAATGATAAAACAGGAACCCTTACTTATTAAAGCTTTATAAAACAATGCTATAGTTATAATGCTTTATATTTCATTTGGAGCTGTTCACTAGAAATGACATGCAAGCCCACAGCGATAAGTGAAGATGACCACTTAAATAGCTTTGAATTTAATTGTTTTACGATATGCTTAAGTCTATGGGCGTAAACTATTTTTAGCAGCAGTATTCAGCATCACAGGAGACCTTAGTGTCTACCTGGTTTATAATGTTGTCAAATTTTTCATTTCTTTGGTAATGGCAATGAGTGAGGAAGGTTTGTTTGGCCACACAGGTGTGCTAGTCGAGTAGGATTGCTACATTTTTTCAAATAGCAGCACAATGCAGTAGTACAGGTGGTATGATATTTGGTGCCTATCTAGCCCTAGAGCCTTTTTTTTGTCTACATTTTATTCAGGCTAATGAAGAGGAGTGTTGTGTAGAGCAGAGGCTGTGACATTATGAGCTACTGCCAGCCAGTTGGATCAAATTGTGCATCGTTGGTGTCGTCATTTGTGAAAAGCACCAACCTCGCAACTTGCCCTAATTTTTGCCCACAGGTCACGTCCTTGCATGAACACTCAAGAATGAGTTTTTTCAGTCACGTTTTCATATACTCTGGCTAAATAAATGGTGAATACATAGTGCACCAAGGCCATTTCATAGCCAGGAGTTAGCCAGGAGTCCATCTTTCCATCTTTGCGGGGGATGTGACACTCCAGCACTTCACTCTAGTCTACCTCAGTGGTTACGGTGCTCGACCTGTAGGGTTCAATCCCAGTGGCGGTGGTTGCATCTCAAAGGAGGAGGAACGCTAGAGGCCCGTGTACTATGCATCGTCAGGGTGTCGAAACTTCCTGAGCCCTCCACTGTGAAATACTTCATAATTGTTGCTTTGGGACATGAAACTCTAGATATCGTTGTTACTGTTGTCCTCTATTGAAAACTTCGTTTCCACACATACATGCCGAAACCACCATCAGTCACACAAAAAATGGCACTCCACAACGTGGCTGTCCTTCACAAACTTTCTGAAAGTTCAGTGTTAACAATGTAGTGTTCATGCCACAGTTCTGCCGTACTATGTGGCTTGGTGTAGGCAGCTGGAGCTACACTTTTTGTTCACAAAATGAAAAAAAAAATGACTATTTTCTACATGGTCTATACTTGCGCAGACAGTGTAGGGGTAGAGAAATAGCTTATTGTATAGTGCTAAGATAGAATGTGAACAAATCATATTTAGCTAAAATATAATCTTTAATTACTGCTGTAGCCGCCTAGTGAAAAGTTACCAAGTTAGCAAGCTTTCAGCCACCTCAACAGAGACCTCAACATTTGGGAGTCATGGTAACTTTGTGAGCAGCCTAAACAGGCAGTAAAATAGTGCTGAAAGGATTCTTTAAGGCACCACAGCAAATTTCAGTGGCTTTACCAATAGTTAAATCTAAGCACCCTATATTTACTACGACTACTTACAAAGTACTAAACAGTTTATTATTAAGGAAGCATCAGGAGGCACTAATGCTGCTTTTCGAGGGCAAGCACTACCTCGAAATCTCACATCTTTTGAGAAGTATTGCTACTTTTTATATTTCATTCACTGATTTGTCACTGTAGAGGGTGATTTAAAGGTATAATTTAAAAAATATGATATGCCTGAAAATAATAGAAACCCTTTGTACAAAAAAATTAAACAAGCTGTCTTCATCATCAAGTAAATATTGTCACAAGGCAGTAGTGGGATTGGGGCATAAAACAGTAGAGGGTCTCTGCCGGGAAGAAAAGACTAAGAAGCGGATAGAAACTGGTCGCAGCTCACTAGTGTGCCAGCCATTGTCGTAGAAATAATTCTTTAGATTGGGCTTTCTCACTTCGATTACCCGACTTTACCCCTATCTACCAAGCTGAGCTACTGGCGATTGTCCTAGCATTGCGTAAAGTGCCCCAAGATCTATCAGTGGTGATTGTTCTAACAGACTGTCTCTCGGTCTGTACTGCCTTAAGCTCACCAACTTATTCGCGTACCTTAGAAACTTTCTACTCCCTCATTCCTAGACATGTGTGACTCGTTCAACTAGTTTGGGTACCAGGCCATAGAGCTTTAGCTCTCAATGAGCATACAGATGCACTAGCTGTATCTTCCCTTGATTGTCCTGTTTTACCTATTTTGTCTACTTCTGAATATATCACAGCAGCACGCTTTGAAGAACGCACAACGGCCAATAATTTCGAAAAATCTCCTTTGTTTTTATCAGACTATCCACAGCTAAAGTTCCCTTGGAAGAACAAGTGGTGTTCATCAAGAAAGGAAGAAATAGTGATTACAAGGCTGCGTTGTCGAGTCCCTTCATTGAATGTTTACTTTCACAGGTCGGGTCTGGCACAGTCGCCTTTGTGCCTTCATTGTAATGACAGTGAATCTTTCGAGCACTTCTTTTTGTCATGCCGAAAATTCAAAAGTCAAAGGAAAAAACTACTAGAATCACCCCTACAAAAGTTGAACTTAAACTTGACACATCCGGTGATTTTTTCATTTGGCGCAGTCGCATTTGGTTTCAGCCACAGGAGCATAATTTTACCGCCATTACAAATTTCTTATGAGAATCTAAAAGAATGGACTGCTAAACATAGATAAATTCAGTTGTTTTATGCATAGAATTTTTATTTTTGTGTGTGTTTATTATGTCTTATTATGTCTGTATTATGTGTTTTTGTGTGTGTTTATTATCCTTTTCAAGGTTTTTTTGTTTGTTTAGAAATCTAACACCTTTAAATTATTATCTATATTACCTAATTATTTCAACCCTTCCTTTCAAATAGTGAATTAATTTAAAAAGCAAGGCACCATCTCATTCACGGCCTATCCCCCTAGGCTGGTTGCGCCAAGTTGTTGAGGAACCAACCAACCAATCAACCAACCATTAACGTAGCGTGTATTAGCGCAGTACATAAAAGAAAGGGACATGACACAGACATTGAGATAGGTAGGTGCTAAACTTCCAATTGTTTATTTCATGCCAATCACACCCATTTTATACATCTGCGATTAAGCACAACTCATCTTGCACGTGTTCTTGAACCAAGGAACGTCATTTCCTTTTCTGACAAGGAAATCGATGATGAACTTACACACAAATGGCCTAATTGTTCTATAGCCTCGGCTTCTTTTATCTCCCATGTGAGCCGATCTCTAGAACGACCGATAACTATGCAACTATACAGATCAGGGGAGCACCCACAGTCTTTGCAGTGTGCCGCCAGGAATCCTGCCGCCGTAAGCTTATATCTTGCGTTATAGCAGTGCTCGCGTAATCTGTCATTCCCTACGTCTGTGTCTACCAATCTACCTCTACCTATCTACCTATCTCTACGTCTGTGTCGTGTCCCTTTCTTTTATGTACTGCGCTAATACACGCTACGTTCATGGATGACCAACTCA